ATACTTTGTCTTAGAGTTTTGTAAAGCTCAAAGACTCAACTTTGAGAATATGAAACGGCTTGTAGAAAAAATTGCGTAAATTATGTGTAAATTCATTTAAAACAAAAAAGAATTTTTCCTATGTTAATTAAATGGGAAACTAAAATAAAAATAGCGACCCCTTAGATTTGAGCTATGGGGCTCATGTTTGGCGAGGATTCTTTTTACATCAAATAGAAACATTTGAGGGGGTAAGAGTTAATATACACGATACCAGCTCGTCTGGAAACTCCAACTGTTTCGCTCAAAACACAAAAACAATTTGAAGTAAAAATGGGTGCCGTTTACCTACCTTTTCAACGACAAACCTGGCTGGTGGAATGTATGTAGTGGTATTGGTGTCTATAAGGAACCCTTTGGACATCCCCCTACCGTTCACAAGTATGGATCTTGGCTTGTTATCACCATCGCTATGATGATGAGCAGCATATTTATCAATTCCAAGCTCAGTACCCCAATCCATTATCATAACGATATGTTCTGACAAATCGTAATCGTAAAGACTGATATGCGGGTTAAACTCGTCAGGAACTCGTACGATAAAGGGTCCAAAGACTCCATCTGCCCTTTGAAACCCTATAGACGGATATAAAAAGGTTTTATTTCAGGGATTTGGAAGGGATGGAAAATGAGTTTTACCTGAGTGTGAATGCCAAAAATGTGTTCCGTAATTTTCGGCTTTGAAATGGTATCTAAAAGTGGCACCGGGTTGAATGGGACACTGTGTCACATAAGGTACGCCATCCATGTATGGGGTGCCCGTTTGATGAAAGCCATGCCAGTGCATTGATGTTGAGTCGGAAAGGAGCTTATTAGTAACATCCACTATTACTTCGTCTCCCAGGCAAACCTATGAATTAATAAATGGATTCCAATTATATAAAACCTTAACGAATATTATAAATATTATTACTGACTTGTGTTATTGATCACGTAATTAATAGGACATTATAAAAAATGCCCGCGCAGTTTGAAATATGAGAGGACAGTGTGATAATAACTTTAGAAATAATCAAGGTAAATGTCTAGATGATGACCCCCAACCCCAAAGGTTGGTGGGATCAAAAGAGGAGGTCTCTACATCACTGTACCATAAAAAGTTCGTGGCGGTATCACCCCCATAAAAAGCTATGGGGGGTAGATGGGGTGGGGGTTTAGGCAAGCCGAAACAGGGTGGTCACCTGTGTAAAACCCCATAAAAAGTTATGGGAGTTGAAAGTTGATTATTTTGACAATTTTCATACACTATAATTCAAACAAAATTCAATAAAAAAAATATTTTCAAGCGGGTGGAGCCCCGAAAGAGGGTGGTCACTTGAACAAAACCCGATAACTTAACCTAACCTAACCTAACCTACCCTATTGATAAAGATATTTAAATAATGTTTTATATAACTTTCTCAATATTTTTATGTATTTTTCATTAGTTTTACCTTTGAATATTGTTTAATAATGACTATATAAATATTTACATGCCTAGAAATGTATAAAAATTGGCATACTTATTAACTTTGAACCCCTATAACTTTTTACGGGGATGAGACCGCCACGGACTTTTTATGGTACAGTGGTGGGGCAGACCTTTTCCTTCAATCCCCCCATCATCTAGACCTTTACCATAATCAAATCGAGCGGACATTATTTATAACACTCGTCACCTATGGAGCAGAATAATTAAAACCAGGTTTTATTGCTGTATTTTATTTGAATATCATCATCATCATAAGGTCGTCAGTCCTAAGACTGGTTGAACAAGCACCTCCACTCTTTCCTATCCTGAGCTAATCTTTGCATTTCCCCAAAACTAGAACAACCCACATCCTTAGCTATTTGCCAACAGTAATCTAATTTAGGTCTACCTCTACCCCTCTTAGTTCCTGTTTCTGCTTCTAATATGCCTCTGACTAGACCTACATGCCTGAAAAGGTGTCCTACCAACCTATCTCGCCAATTTCTTATTGACTTCCTTAGAGTCCTCTGTTCTCTTATTCTTTCTAATACCTCATCATTTCTAACCTTTTCTATCTACGTTATCCTCATCATTCGCCTATAACATCACATTTCGAACGCTTCTAACCTTATGAATATGGAAGAAATAAACTATTATTTTATTAGGGCATTATTTGAAATAATAAATAAATGTGTATTACGTATATTTTAACAAAGACCTAAATAATAATGCATATAAAATAAAATAAATTTCTTGCAATTGCTACCTATTGTGAAATATAGTTAGGTTTTTTCCATAACATTCTCAATCCAATTAATTCTTTTCTTTTTAAAGACGATCATAAATCAAGTCGTTAATTTCACAAGTTATTGGAAATGGATCCTTTTGAATACTTAATTAATTAATTTTGAAATATAAACATTATTATTATTACGAGTAACGGACAGAAATATGTTAATTTGCATAACAGCCGGTTTGTAGGCATTCTGTCCATTCCGTTTTATTTTTACCTTTTGAAGGTTAGGTAAGTTAATAGCTCAATAAAGTCCAATAAAAACGATCAATCAACATGCTCATCGACAGTATTTTCCGTTATTCATTAGTAAATTCTTTTATCGTAATTAGATTTTTTATCATATCTATCTCATAATCAGGAAAGGTTCCTAGGTCACAGTAGAAAAGTGCAACTTAAATCGGTCACTTTTGTCAGTCCTCATAATCATTACTTATTCCGCCCTAGGTACGAATGAGGCGCATAGAATGCGTATTAAGAAGACATTACATAAATATTGGGTTGTTCGGAAAGTCATTTCGTTTTTTCCCGACAGAGGATTTAATTGTATTCTTTTGCACCCAACTTCACATTTAAGCCGTATAATTTTTATATGCTTTGAGAGCTCATATAGCAAGGCTTGTGTGTGAAAAATTCCAATT